TATGGAGTGGGATAACAGTTGTATGAGCCCCTAATAAAATGTTAAAAAAGAAAAAAAAAAAAAGACTTGGTGGGCTAGGATGTGCTCCACTCTCTCTTCCTTCCCCTTAATTTTCTCCCGTGTGCTCTGATCAGACATGCCCCTCTCCCTGAGCTGCAGCTTCAGGGCCATCCTCTGAAATAATTTCTTCTGAGGGAAGGGGCAGTTCAGCACATTTTTAATGCGGTTTTTGTGGTAAAATTAGGTGCCTCGGCTGATATTCATGTCGGCTTATACTCGAGTCTATATAGTAACTCGCAGATCTTATATGGGGAACTATCAACTGTGTAAGCGTTAATGAAGCAAGCTGTATTTATTGTGTCGGAGCATTTGTAGAAATTTTATAATCAAAGCTACAGACATGTATTGACAGTAGTGGCTCTCGATTAAGGGTGAGTTTGTCCCCCAAAGGCCATTTGGCAATTCTGGGGACATTTTTACTTTGCCAACTGGTGTATCTATCTATGTGGTACCACTGGTATCTCGTGGGTAGAGGCCAGGGATGCTGTTAAGCATCGTACAATGCATAGGAGAGCCCACAGCAACGAACCAGCCACCCAATGTGTCCATCAAACTGAGAGACTGATTTACAAGCTCATCTTACCAAAATCTGCAACTTGAACTATTAACTCGGCTCAACCTCCTGAGAATTAGATCAATAGTTTAAAAAGTGGCCTGCAGTCGAAGGTGCTAGCAGTTAGAGTGGACATAGTACATGCCAGGCCTTTTACTGGCCCTTGCACTGTGGACACAGCCTCTCTGCCCACAGTTGCCTGGTTCGTTAGGGTCATCTGAAACTCCTGCTTTAGCACCCAGTGCTCACACTGACGTCACCGAGTACTCCATACACTACTCCCGGGACAGTGCCTTAGACCCCTATGCAGGGGACTTCTGTTTGAGACAAATTTTAATAAACTTGGCTACTTGGTTTTTCAATCCACAAATGATTTAGAACAGCAAATAAAAGCTGCAACCAGGCCCAAAGGAGAAAATGAAAATCACAAAAGAACCCGTATGTAAGGACAGCCGAGTCAGAATGCAAAACAGCAGGTGCTGTTATTTGGAGCTTCGCCTCCCCGACTCTGTCAGTAGGAAATGATACTGTAATAAGGAACCAATTTCCCAAACAGATTCTGATGATCAGGATCAATGAAAAAGTTAGCATATATTCTACAGTCTGTGTTTAAGAAGGCACGTTGCATACAAAAGAGCTTCGAAAAGTGCATGGAAAAATGGAATTAAAAGAGCATGGAACTTTCCCAGCAGCTCGTGAAGCCCTCCTAGAATTCTGATTATTTTCAGTAGGTTAGGTTAAAAAACTCAGTCACTGCAAGGATTCCTGTAGCAGCTCCATACACTTGATAAGGCCATTCATTTTTAAAAAGAAAACAAAATTGTGACACTTGTTAGTTACTTCTGATCTGCGCTGTGCGTAATCCCAGAATTAAGTCTAGTTTGCAGACTACGAAGACAAGACAAAGGGCTACCTACTTCTCATGCTACCTACTAAGCAAGAAGTTCTGGTGTGGAACGATATAATACCATACATTCATTAAGATTATGTACATAATTTGTCTATACGACATGTGAAGGTTATATACTATAACTTGCAGTAGATCATGGTTGAAAATAAGGACAAACTTTTAAAAACCAGGCATCCTATCTCCAAAGCCCTGCATGGGAGGCACTGTAATGTAGCATTTGGGACCATCGGTTCTGGAACCTAAACACCTGAACTCTAACTGTGGCTCCAGCCTCCGCGGCTCCCTGAGCGGTCCAGCTTCAGCGCTGTGCTTGATCACTCTGTGCCTCAGTTCCTGTGTGTGCATGGGGCTGTCACTTTGATGACTAGATGGGATGAGACACACGGTGTTTCTGACAGTGCCTGCCTCTAAGTACTCGGTAAACATTTATTGAAGCGTTTGCCACGGGAAGTGAGATGGGAGCCATCCATCTGAGTGCCAGTCTTGTTCCACTTCGTAGTTATTCACGTGGCCTCACTGTCTCCTATTTGAAACTCCTCATGATTTGGCCATGTTCTGGAGAATCTCTCCAAAGTTCCCGCAAGTTTCTCAAGTCAGATCCCCAGTTCCTCCTCGCCGCCATCCCACCCTCCTATCCGGAGCTCCTCCGGCGAGCAGCCAGGGCTGAGCAGCACCGTACTGACGGATCTCAGGCAAACACCGGGAGCCTTCAGAAATCTCAATCTTGAAAACCACGTTTTGTTTTTCAGTTCTCCTTTATGTGTTCGTGGGACATGGTTCTTTGGGACGTGGCCTCCACCCCAGGGGAGCAGGACGGCCAAAGCCAGCGAGAACACTGATGGATTGGCACCAAGCTCAGCATGGCTGGTGCTGAGCTGAAGCCCCGTCGCCTATTTAACGACCAAGCCGTCAATGTTGTGCAGAACATGCGCCTTCCAGCTCCTCTCTCTCACCTACCGTCCCACAGTGACCGTGCACTAATTCCCAGTGAAATGCAGGAGAGTGGGGTGGGTGTGCTCAAGTGCCCCCCATCTGCCTCCCGGTCACGTGGCATGCTTCACTGTCAGTACACCCTAAAAACCTGAGGCCGACCCATCCTGACTCCTGCTGTCTCATTTCAGAATGATGTACACATCAGCTAGGTGACTCTCGTGCAACTAAGCTATATGCATTTAGTTGGTATTAAGTGGGAACCTGAACATTTTGTCTTTGGTGACCTGATCCTGGGAAACTTGGCCTAATAGCTGCAAAATAAACACGTACCTCACATAATTCCTGTGTGTGGACTTCATGATTTTTATCCCAAGTTTGTCCAAGGTGTCTCATCTCTGATTCCTCACATTTAACAGGTTAGAGCCCCCTGGGAGTCTGATTTAAAGTGCTAGCTGATAGGATGTGTGGGTTACAAGACACCTGCAATTTTCTTATCAGCAGAACATCAGGCTTAAACAGCATGCTTATTAACAACCTTTGATGTACAGATCTTAGAAAATTCTCCTAGACTACCTTAGATGCGCCTCTTCAGGGTGGCATGGCTTCCTGGCTAGGGTGTGTTAAAGAGACACACACGTGTATCTGTCAGCTCACCTGGAGACTGAGCTTCTGGCAGTTCTGGAGTGGTGCTGTCCTGTTCCTGTTGTCATCTGCACGACACGTCTTCCCTGTGCATTTCTGAGGCAGCTGCAAAGACACATTTGGAGTCAAAAGGGCTGACCATGAGCCCTGGTCGTGTGGTGGGGTACCCGCTGGTCTACTGCCCATAGGCCAGCAATTCAAAACCACCAGCTGCTCCTGGAGAGGAGGAGAGGCATTCTACTCTCGTAAAGACTAACGGCTACAGGAAGCCGCAGGTGCAGTTCTGCTCTAGGACGCCCTGTAGGGTCACTGGCAGGAAATGTATGCAGATCAAGGGCGATGCACACAAATTCAGGCTACAGCGAACCTAAAGTCACCTTGGCAAACTTCCTACCACATGGTGAATCGTCCCCCATTAATGACATCAACAAATAGATACATTGCAGCCCTACTGTGTGCTGGGCACTATTCTAGACACTTGGGATAGCGCAGTGAACAAGATGGACAATGCTTTTCTCAGGGGTACTTCTACCAGGTTGTGCGGATAAGCACGTGGCTGCCTTGGGGGAGTTGGGGCTGGCAGCCACTTAGCAGTGCCCGTGGCTGCCAGCCCCAGTTCCCTCGGGCAGCCACGTACCTCTGAAGCTGTCCGTGGTTGGCCCTCCTTGTACCCCTGTCTCTTCCTCTTCAAGTGCAGACGTTTGAAGACAACTGTTCTGCGTCCCCGGAGTCTCCTCCAGTTAAATGTCTATTGTCTTTGGTAGCATTTCCGAGAATTTGGTGTGCATCTGCCCTGCTCACCCTGGATTCGTCAGGTTGTGGCTCCCATGAATCCCCGTTCAGGCCAACTGGCACCTCCTGCTTCAGGGTTTCCGGGAAAGCCTCCAGCAGGGTTCTTCTCCAGAAGCATGTAAATGTTTTATCCCCTATTTGAGGAGGAGAACTTAAAAGGAGTAACTTCAGAAGTTGCTACTGAGTGCTTTTAAGATCTTCTGACGAAGATTGTGTGCGCGCACGCATGTGTGCATTTAACACCCACCAGACCAGATGCCAGCAGGTCAGCCCTGCGTCGCTGTGACTGCGTGTGTGAGAGCAGAATTGTGCTTCGTGGGGCTCGCAATGGCTGTGACCTCCTTGGGACTTTTTCAAGGTGGCCTTAGGGTGCATACGAAAACCCCGTCTGCCCAGCCAAGTGCTTAACGGTTCCAGGGAGTCTACAGTGAAGTAGTCGGTCTTTACCTGAAAAGTAAGACTGTCACAGCCATCATGGATGAGCACCACCATCTATAAAACGCGACCTTACAATGTCAGGTAAGTCAGAAGGGTGTAATCTCAGTATTTAAAATGCGAATTAATTAGCAAAGGAGCCACCACAAAGAGCTACTACCAAGCTGACTGGCATGATGACTGTGTGTGTCAGAGAACAGCTGTGCTCGATCAGGCTCTCGGGCTGGTTTTTGGAAGCGGATTGCCCGGCTTTTCTTCCAAGGTACCTCTGAAAGAACCGGGCCGCATCCCCATTTGGGGATCACTGCTCTTGTGATTCCCAGGAAGTAGTTAGGAGTTGCATTCAGCTATAAGAAAAGCGTGACTTAAGCAAATTAGTGTTTTGTTCTCGTGGAAATAGAATTCTAGAGAGAGCCCGAGGTTGAAGTGGACCCTTCACGGTGCCACCAGGGACCCTGACGCCTGGGTTCAGCCACCCGTAGCATGAGTTTGTCATCACCTAACCCCAGCCTGCCTGCTCGACCACCAGCGAAGGATAGGCAGGGAGAGGGGAAAGGGGAAGGGAAAGCTAGTTGAAACGGCCTCTTAATGATCTTTCTCCAGATCCCACCTAGTGCCTTCTAATTGGCTCGCCTGCGTCACGTGGTCGCCTCTGTGCAACGGAGGCTAGTAGTGCTCTTCAGCTCAGTGCACCGCTGCTCTGAAAGCTGAGTGCTGTAAAGGGGGAGCTGGTTGAGATAACTACTATGCCTTGGGGCCCCTGTTTTTATAGAAGTTGATAGGGGCTAGTTTGTTCACTGTCCACTTGGTTTCACTGGTTGATAATAAAGGATTGAGAGGAAAGAATTCTGGGAAGACGTGTTAGTTCCAGGTTGACTAGAGAAACAAATTCACAGACACTCATATGTATATAAGAAAGAGCAATTGTATATTGTGAGAAAACATCCCAGTCCAGATCAAGTCCATAAGTCAGATATTAGCCCATATGTCCAATACTAGTCCATAAATCCCCCTTTAGACTTACGCAGCACATGCAATGATTCCAAATGGAGGAAGACCACAGGCCAGTGGGTAGAAAGTCTTGTGGATCCAGTGGTGGAAGCATCTCAGTGCTGGCGTGGGTCTCCACGTGGCTCCTCCAGCTCCAGAGCTCTGGCTCCATCGGTGTGTCTCCATGTGACTTGTCAACAGGAATGTGAAACAGTGTGTGTGTGTCCCGCCTCCCAGGAGGAAGACAGGAGTTCCCAGAATCCTCAGGAGAAGGCCATGCCCACATAGAGGCACCACTGGCTGTGACCTGATTGACAGGCTAGCCCCCACCCTTTTGGTCAAGTTGACAGGAGATTTATATAACTCCCACAGAAGATGACAATGGAAGTCACAGCGTCTTAACCGCCTTGAATTCCCCCATAAAACGGCCTCCAGGAAAAATAAAACTAAACCGATCATCTGCAATAAGTGGCTACTTAGGTGACATCACTACAAACCCACAGATTCAAGAAGGTAGAAACCATTGGCAGCTCTTGACTTGCAAGGCATCAGCACCTTTGTAGAAAGCAGCAGAGGGGCCGTCTGAGCAACCTGAGAGTAACCCCAGAGCAGTTGGTGGTAGGGAGAACAGCAACTGGAACTTGGAGGAGTTTGGACCGCCCAGTTACATCAATGAGTGTACATGGTCCACAGGAAGACCAGGAGAGGCTGAAGCAGCAAGACCCTACGCCAACAACACTAGGTGCAATTTCTTTCTCGGGCAGCCAAGAAGAAACAGGTGGTAATGAAATGCAAGTAGGGTAGGCTAAGGGTATTTGGGGCAAAGGAAAGAAAACTCAAGAAGAGGGTAGGCAAGCGGGGTGGGAGTCAGGGGGAGGAACAGTTCCAGGAGACCTCAGAAAGGAGGAGGCCACGTCATGAAAACCCCCAAATAAGCTGCCTCCCTGCTCTCGGGTCACTTCTGGGGCACAGCGACCCTGCAGGACTGTGAATCTTTGCAGGAGCAGACAGCCTCATCCTCTCGCAGGGCAGCTGTTGCGTTGAAACTGCCGACAGTGCAATTAGCAGTCAATGCTGAACCCCATGCCACCAGGGCTGGAAAACCACCCCGCTCACCCCGCCCCCCTAATGCGCAGGAAAACGAATTCCGTGTAAAAATGAGCAGCAAAATGGATCCAGGCAAATCTCATAATGAAGTTATTATAAGAAAGATGAGAATAAGGAGAATAACATCCCTAATGATAATGAAAGCATTCCAGAAAGACATGCCCACAAAAGCAGATAAAAACTATAATGGCATTTCAAAAGGAGCTAAAAGCAATTAAGAAAATGGTGTAAGATATGAAAGAAAGACATTATAATTAGGAAACCGAATTTAGGTAGTGGGACTCTGGGAAGAACTGGGGATAAAAGAAAACTCATTTCACAAATGAAGACCACTTGAAGGGTGCCAAGTGAAGATGCACAAGCGATCATGCCTTAAGGGATACACGGCGAAAGGAAGGGAAGGATGTTGGATATCCGAAATGCATGAGGAGAAATCAAAGAATCTGAGAAAGTGACAAATATGGCCAAAGGACATCAGACGGAAAATAGACCACACCGCAAACTCGAGGAAGTCAACCCAGCAGCTCAACACCGAGACCAGTAAAATCAGGACTTTAAAGAAAAAAAATACTGGAGGCATTCAGTGCTGTACCAGTGTCACTGGTTCAGGCAACATGAGTTTATACTAATAGTATGAGTCATGCTGAACGCCTATATAGATACAGATTAGATCTAGATGAGGCATCAAAACGAAAAGACTAATTCACTTACAAGGGAAAGAAAACGAGATGATTATCAGACTTTGGGCAATAGCTCCTTATGTCAAAAGACGACAGCACAGCATCTCTAAGATACCCAAGGGAACAGAATGTGAGCTAAGGTTTTTGTTTTATGTCCAGCCAAACTTTCAGCTGTGAAGGCCACAGACAAAATGCTATCAACATGGATGAACGTAGAGAATATCATTCCCATGAGACTCTTCAGAGGCATTTTCTAGGGAACATCGGTCAGACAACCCTAACGGTTTGGTGGTGGTGGTGTTGCTGGGTGCCACCGAGGGAATTCTGGCGCAGAGCAGCCCCGTGCAACAGGAGGAAACACCGCCCGGTCCTGTGCCCCCCACAATTGGTCTTAGGTTTGAGCCCATTGTGGCAGCCACTGTGCCAATCCATCTAGTTGAGGGCCTTCCTCTTGTTGTTGCCGTTCCTCTGCTCTACCGAGCACGATGTCCTTCTCCAGGGACTGGCCTCTCTTGACAACGTGTCTCCAACTTGTGAGGTGAAGTCTCTCCATCCTTGCCTGTAAGCAGAATTCTGGCCGCACGGCGTCCGAGACAGACCCGTTTGTTCTTTCAGGAGACGTTGCTAGTCAGTGGTGGTAAGCACCAGATTGGTTGGATGTATCTGACAGTGTTAGTGGCTTTGTAGGACTGT